GAACAAAAATAAAGGAGGCGATCCCCAAAGATGATATTGACATTCTATATGAAAGAAATTTATATCCCTATTAAGAATAGTACATTGGACATCGGGTTTCCAAGCTACCGCTAGTGCACCTGATGATCCTATGGCACTCACTAACTGAACCTCCTTAAGATCAATTTGTTGATAGAACAAAACCCTCACTTTTAAATTCTAAATTGATTGATCCAAATCTCCGCATACATACCGAAGTCACACCGAATTACCTTGTTAATCAATGACACTTTAACTACTTATAACTTGTATGAAACCTATAAATCTCGTCTGATTGATAACAACGATTTAATATATGATTTTCAGATTTTGTGTCGTCTCAACTTTTCCACCAAAGAAAATAAAATAAAAAAGATTTTTTTTTTTGTTTTATTGGTAAAGAAATTCATAATGTGCGGCTCCCCATCCCCATACTCTCTAGTCAACGATAAGTTTTAGCATACAAGTGCTCTTTCCCTATCCTCCTTTTTGGTCCCTAAAGTTTTATTTCCATCCAAACGAGATACCGTTTTGGCGTTTTCTTGCCGCCACCCATTTCGATGCTTAATCCCTTATTACGAGCTCGTTGACAAATTACAACTGACGCTGAGAGAGATTAAGTGATTAGCCATCTAAAAATCGGCATAATTCCGGCGAATATTCCCCAGCTCCGGCGAGTCCAGACTCCAATCTCTCGTCAATGCCTTTCTTTATTGGCGTTGAATAAGATTCTTTTTGCTCCGGCTAGCTTATCAATGCTTCTTTTAATTTATTAGCCAGGGTTCCCTTTCACACGTCGAAAAGAAAAGGACAAACCATTAAAGAATCTTGGAAATTGGGGAAATAAAATTTGGAAGGGACAGATTGGGTATAAATACTCTGTATCCGACTGTGCCAGAAAACAGCTCATTCGGGTTTAGAGACGGGGGAAAAAAATGGGCTTTCTGGGTTCATCTCCTTCTTCTTCTTCCTCACTACCTCTCTGTTTTCTACTTGCCCTGTTTTTGGCTCTTAGCGCCGCGGTGGTCTGCAATGGCGGCCACACCAGCAGCTTCATCCGGAAAGAGCAAAAGTCCGTCGACATGCCTTTCGACAGCGACGTTTTCCGGCCGCCCTCTGGCCACAACGCTCCCCAGCAGGTAGGATCTCATCAAATTCTTCAAACTCTGGCCCGAAAATGAAATGGCAGAGTTCTTCCAGCGAATGCTCTGTTTTGATTTGCGTTTGTAAAAATTGAAGGTGCACATAACGCAAGGGGATCATGAAGGGAAGGCAATGATTATCTCGTGGGTAACCATGGATGAACCTGGTTCGAGCGAAGTTGTTTACTGGAAGGAAAACGGAAGCTCTCGGAAGAAGACTGCGAAAGGGAAATACACGACTTACAAGTACTACAACTACACATCTGGGTACATTCACCATTGCAACATCCGCAAGTTGGAGGTAACGATTTCCTCCCATCTCTGACCAGTCTCCATTCTAGTGGAAATTGGAGTCTCTTTAAGCTTTGCGGATGATTTGACGAAATACAGATTATAATCAACAGTTACCAATTCGTCCCAAGAACTCGAATGGTTTGACGAAATACAGAATGAATCTGATACCATTACTCATTCATTAGTCATTTCTGTTCATGGGCATTAATGGGTTTCCTAAAAATTAGAAATCTTTGAATGAATCGAAATTGAGGGAGTACACCATAGAAAAGGGTTCATTTCCATTTTTCCGGGTTTTGTTTTCTGGGTAATTAATTAATTCCGTCGCCCTCCAGAATCTGAGATTACGAGACAGAAAGAAGGTGATTAAGATTAGGTCGGAAATCTATTATTATACGAAAATAATTTTTTTTTTTTTTTTACTTTTTGGGCTGGACTGCCATTTTCTGCGTTGAAGGGCTCAAGCTAAAAGACAGATAGAGAAATGAAAAGATGACTTTTTGCAGAAAAGAAATGCTTTTTTCTTCTTCTGCAGGCTCTCACGTGAAGTGTCCCATAATATCTTTTTCCCCACTTTAACGTAATCTTGAACCGTTGACCGTGGTGATTAGGGATGGGTGGTTATTGATTATCCAGGAACCTACTTGTATGGTTACTTGTTATGGTAAATTGGCCAAAAGGTAATTAGGAGTTAGGATGAAAAATGATATGGTAAATAAATTTACAAGATTGCTTCATCTAACTTTGCGGTACAGGTAGATAAAGGCAGTGGTAGACTGTTAGGTCAAAATAAATTATGCGCAATCAAAAAAATTTGCTAAAATTGGATAACTAAGCACAAAATTACATACATTCGAGGTTTATGATTTATGATATTCATCGAAAAAACAATTATAGCCAGCGGACCATAGAGGATGTGGCGGTTTCCACATTTGAAATGAAACCCGCTTTTGTGGGGGGGGGGGGGGGGGCTTCGATCAATCTGATCGCATCGACTCGACGCGGTCTCTAGGCGGCATGAACGGAAACCGCAACACCCCCTGCGGTCGTTTTGTAAACCGCCATAGGGGTTACGGTCCTTGTGAAATGGTGGTACAAATGGAAATTTTTGGAAATTGATGGTATTTTTTAAATTTTATAATTTTTGGGTGGTATATTGGGAAAAAATCCCAAATCTCACCAGGAAAATTGATTGGAGAAAAAACAAAAGGAAGGCTACAAAATATGTTGACTTTGAACTCTTATTTACACATTGGAGGTCAATTACGTAACAAAATACTTATCTTTTGGGGCACTGGCAAAACAAAGTTGCTAAATTTCATTAGCTTTATTTTTGGTCTAAAGTAGTAGGAATCATTATACAACATTATTGTTTCGAATTGCTTACGAGTTTAATTGATTGTCTTATCCTTATTGATTGGCAGTATAACACCAAATATTACTACGAAGTTGGAATTGGTCACAACTACGAAGTTGGAATTGGTCACAACGTGAGAAGGTTCTCCTTCACAACACCTCCTCCAGTTGGCCCTGATGTCCCTTACACATTTGGCATGATTGGTTAGTGTTACTATTGGAATCACCAGCCGCCATTGATAAATGATTTCAACTTCAAGTAATTGGGTTTATGTCATTACACTATCAAGCACTTAACTTTTCCCCCTTTTTCCATTGATTATGTGGGTTCTGTTTTCCACAGGTGATCTTGGCCAGACTTTTGATTCCAACGCCACACTCACTCACTATGAAAACAATCCAAGGAAACCACAAACGTTGCTGTTCATCGGGGACCTTTCTTATGCCGATAACTACCCGAATCACGACAACACGAGATGGGATTCGTGGGCAAGGTTCGTCGAGAGAAGCGTTGCTTATCAGCCTTGGATCTGGACTCCTGGAAACCACGAGCTCGACTTCGCCCCAGAAATCGTAATCCACATCTCTCTCTCTCTCTCTCTCTCTCTCTCAATCGTTTGATGCATTGTGTTTAATGTTGCTAAGAACCATTCTTTTGGTTGCCCCTACTACAAGTAACCATGGCTAATCCATTTCTTTGTTTTTTGCAGGGTGAAAACAAGCCATTTAAGCCGTTCACCCACAGGTATCATGTCCCATTCAAAGCATCAGGCAGTACTTCTCCACTTTGGTACTCCATCAAGAGAGCTTCAGCTTACATTATCGTCCTGTCTTCATATTCAGCATACGGTAATGGCAGACTACATATCAATTGGTCAAACATATAACGGGTTTCTTGCTGGTGACGCAATACGATGTTTGTGTATGTTGCCCTGATCTTTCTTTCTTGTGCAGGTAAATACACACCTCAGTATCAATGGCTGGAGGCAGAGCTGCCCAAGGTCAACAGAACCGAGACTCCATGGTTGATCGTGATGGTGCATTCCCCGTGGTACAACAGCTACAACTACCATTACATGGAAGGAGAGACCATGAGGGTCATGTACGAGTCGTGGCTCGTCGAGGCCAAGGTCGACCTTGTCCTCTCCGGTCACGTTCATGCCTACGAACGATCTGTAAGTTCGCTATCACAACAAACATTCATTGTTCCGAAACCAACACAATCCGATTCTGAAACAATGTGGGCTTGTTCTGCATTTTTGCTTGTTCGATCGATCAGGAACGTATCTCCAACGTAGCTTACAACATCGTGAACGGGAAATGTGGTCCGGTGAAGAATCAGGATGCTCCGGTTTACGTCACCATTGGAGATGGAGGCAACATTGAAGGCTTGGCTAACAAGTAATGGTCCTTACTCTCTTAAATGCAGCAGACGAAACTGTGCTTAACAGTTTTTCTTATCCCCCCCCCAGTGGTTGATGTGTTGTTTCTTGTTGTTGCAGCATGACTAATCCGCAGCCAGACTACTCTGCATTCCGGGAGGCGAGTTTCGGACACGCCATTTTAGATATCAAGAACAGGACGCATGCTCACTATAGCTGGCACAGGAACCAGGATGGCTATGCGACGGAAGCTGATTCGATGTGGTTCTATAACAGAGTTTGGAACCCTGTTGATGATTCTACAAGCAGCGAGTCATAGATTTGATTTTAGGCTGGATTCCTTTATCAAATTTGTTTGGATTTTATCATCTTGTTTGAATAAACATTTGTTCTTAGAGGGTGATCAATAATTTTTAGAGTTGCAGGCTTTTGTCTTTCTGATTTTTTACTTTGGTAGCTTTTGTTGGGTAAAAGTGTACTACAGGGGAACTCTGTTCCTTAATGTCTTACATGCCAAGTATGTGAGAATCCGTGGTGCGTTCTTCGGTTTATCTCTTTAACTATTCGGATTATTGTATATCTTATGAAGAAATTAAATAAGCTTTATAATCAAGAGGATTAAAATCGAAAAACGATATAATAAGTGTACCTAGTTGGAAAAAAACGACGTTGAAAATTACATATTTGCACGAGTTAGATCAATTTCGTACTAGCTGAAGTGTTAAAAGTATAATTTCGAAGCTTCAGGTGTCATAATGGTGATTAGTAAATTAGATTATCGTAATTAATTAACGTAAGGCCAAACTCTTTTCTTCCAAGCGAGCAACGGCTCTCCTCTCCAGAGTCCAGTCAGCCCGACGGAAGGAACTTTCGCATTCGTTTATTTTCCCCCGCCTCCGCGCCGAACACGATCACGCCAGTCTACAGCCCTCCGGCGGACTCTAGAAAATTTTCAAATCCTGCTCGGCGTAATCGGTTCACAACTCGGCAATTGGCGTTCATCCCGAACCAGCGACCGACGTCTCTGATGAAGATTCCATCGGCGGGCGCTTCATAAGCACCATGGACGCGGAGGCGGAGTCGGCCGCCGCGAATCAAGAATGTAGCGGAAGCAGCGGAGGGGAAGGGGTTAAGAGTACCGAGAATGGCAACAAGGAGGAGCAGCGAGAGAAAGGGGAGACGACGACGAAGAAGGAGGATGTGGGAGGAAGAGTAGATCCGGAGTTCTTCTGCTGCTTGCTTCAGCCTGCCAATGCCGATTCGGATCCTTATTATGCCGGCATCCGGCGGCTCCTCCTCTATCGCAAAGCGGAGTCTGGTTGCGTCCGACGTCTGGTGAGTTGTTCTCCACCGTCTGCGCACCTTTTGGTTGAAACCTGCAATGCTATTACCACTGGATCTAGGTTCGGGTTTAGACGTTCTGCATCGAGTATTAGTGGCTTGAATTGTTATTGCAGCTTTGGTGTTGATCATAAAAGCTCGGATGCACGTTGATTCGGCGTCATCTGTCCGGTATTGTGTTCGTAGTAGTCATTCATTTAAGGAGTTCAGCTGTTGAATGCGAATGATGAGAATTGGTCAATGGTATCTGTAGATCTAAAGGAACTAATAGAACCTGAATCTGAATGGCATGGCACTAGATATCCATGTCTAAGATGGATCAATCTAAAATCTAGCTCCAATTTGGATAGCATAAGTTATGTACCTGTAGCGAGAATGAAATTTCTGACTGTTTGTTCTCCGCAATGTATTGCATGCATTTCCTGAATGAGTTGTTTACCATACCATTGAAAGCAACAAGTTCAGTGCTGGATGAACTCAAGAGCATTCAAGTTATGACAGTTTTAGGCCTTGTCAAAACAAAAACAGAGAACATATGGAGTTTTCGGTTCTTTTGAGTTCATTGATCACGTATTGTTAATATTTATCCCATCTCCCTTTTTTTCAAGGAAGTAAAAGCATATTCATAGCATTTGGTTTGTTTTGAAGGATTGGAGATGCAACGGAAAAGGCTACATCCATTATCGTAATTACATCAGAAGGCCAAGAAACTGGGAGAAGTCGCAAGTTCCAAGCCTCCTAAGCACCCCAGGAAACAGGTTTCTAAGATGTACTCAATGCTTGCTAGGTTTTCTGAGTCAGCTGTACTGTTTCTTGACCTATTACCATGTTAGATAAGTTATTGTGTATATATGTCTAATGCTTCTATAATATTCTTGCGCATGCAAATATGGGAGATTGGAAGTAATGCAATGTACTTGAACTTGTGACTCCTCCACTGCATTCCATGACTTGAGCATTCATGGTGGTGGGATGATTATGGCAATTGAATCTCCAAGTTCATCCTCGTGTCACTTTATGATAACTGTGCTTACTGATGCATAAGTACTATGATTTAATTTTTACACGATTCCGACATTAGGTTATTTTACTGGTTGATGCAGCAGTGGTCGATGGTTTCGATCTTCAAGTTCATTCTCCCAATTATATGACATGGAAAGCCTTTCTTCTAGCCGGGTAAGTGTAAAATGGCCAAGTCTTTCATGTTTTCTTTTTTCTGTTTAGTATAGTTGAATCGGGTATGGTTCTGCCTCCAACTATTTGACTAGAGCCTTCTGTGGGATGTACTCTACATAGCTTGTCAGTGTACTATATTTGTAATTACATCTTAATTGCAACCTGAAACCCTGGAATAATAGTAATCTCAAAGGAAGGCATTTGAATGGATTTCCAGAAGAATGTCTGGCCGCCTGTTCTTAATGACTTAAAAGTTTAATCCTTGCCTTAAGAGCATATTTCATCCTCTTGACCTCGCTTTCGAAGATTGATATCTTCAACAGATTAATTGAACCTTGACTCTTGATTTTATACAGGACGTGCCTAGTTTTAATCCATCTTCAGCTCGTAGGACAAGTGTCAGCTCTGGAGGAAGTGATATTAATCATCCACGTGAGAGACAGCCTGAACCTGGTTATTCTTTTGTGGGAATGCATTGCATCTTTGATCACAGCAAAGCTGCTGGTACTTTCATACTTTGCCTATTGTCTGTGCTATTCCTTCCTACTTTGAACAGCATGTAAAGTGATTTATTTCTTAATTAAAATGTGAAGTAACTTTCTCAGTCTTGCAGTGACAGTTTTGAAGTTCGGTAAGAGGAGTTCTGATCTACTGGCATATGGGGCATCTGATGGAACACTGACAGTTTGTACAGTCTCCCAGTCACCTTCTGTCCTCAAACAGCTGAATGGACATTCAAAAGATGTCACAGGTTTGATTACCTGGTATTGCTTCTGTGTTCTTTTTACCTAACCAATGGTTGTCTATTTTCAGTTCATGTAAGTGTTACACCATAACAAACCTGTGGGGAGGATACCCATGCAAACACCTGCTTTTCATTTCCCCTGGTTAGTTTAACGTTGAGTACAATAGGCATAATATACCAGGAATATGTGGTGAAATTATAAGTTTTGAAATATGAGATAATTCAGCAGCGCACTTATGAGATATTCATAGAGTAATTGAGCTTAGATTGTTAGTCACTGATTTTGTTTCTTCAGAGAGCAAACTGGATCTTGTAGGTTATGTGGCAGTTTACTTGAATGAATTTGCAAGAGTATCCTTTGAGATTGAGTTGAAAAAAAAAACCGTGCCATCCTCCCTGCGAAGCACGCTCTTATAAAGCAACAATCTCTGTCAATACATCACTTCACAAAATGCTTGTTGTGCTTTGTGTATATGGAAGGATCCTCAGGGAATAGTCTGTTGACTGTACTCATGTCAAGAAAAAATATATCATATGTCTCAGATTGCTTTTGTGTTGTGAATTGAAGCATTAACTTCTTGGAGATGATTAAATCGAGGCACTATCTTTGTAACCATATTTTATATTATGTCACTGAAGACAAGAGATCTAGTGATGAGTGAATTTTGAAGCTGACATTTGAAAATTCTGGATCCTATTATGTCTTTTTCAGACTTTGACTTCTCCTCCAACAATCAGTATATTGCATCATCGTCAATGGATAAAACTGTGAGAGTGTGGGAGTTATCGAAAGGAACTTGCATTAGAGTTATCTATGGAGTTTCCCAACAACTATGTATTCGTTTTCACCCTGTAAGTACATATCACATTTGATGTTGTTTCTTCGGAATTGCAAAACCACTTGTCTACATTAGACTGCCTAGTCTGCTTCATCTATGTGACTTCAAAGAACCCTCTACAAAAATATGTCTCATCTGATTCAAACAGGTTTTTATGGCCAGTGATGTAATTTCTTCCAGTCATGTCTCCTCTCTTTCAATTTATTATTCCTGAGGCTTTGCAACCTGAACTGTAGGGACTGATACTTTTCTGTTTCTGTTTACTCTGTACACTTTCAATCCTTTGCGTATTATCTTAACTGACAAGTTATAAATTATCTTTTGACACAGGTAAATAACAACTTCCTTTCAGTTGGCAACGTAAACAGAGAAATCACTGTAAGTACTGCTTGCTTACCTTTGCTGATGTGACTTGCTCCTTACACTTAATTCTTCCTTTTTTTCCTAATCAAGATGATCAAAGTAACATTCCTATGTCTCAGTTAAGATGAACGGATAAACCCCTTTTTCCTGGGTTTTCTCAGTTCGAACCAAAGATAACCCAGTTGCTTTTTTATGGTTCTTACTTGATCACTCAACAAAACATTAGATTTATCTGGTAGTATAAGGAAGCAAGTAGGTGATGCTATAGATGTAAATTGTTTCTCTTCTAGGTATTCAATTTCAGCACAGGCAGGATTATTGCCAAAACAGTTCTAAAAAATGAGGTTACCTCAATGGACCACGATCATACCGGTCGGCTCATTTTCTGTGGAGATCAGCAGGTGCCAGCTAATTCCCAACTCTCTAAGATAATATTTACTAATCCACATTCCTTTCTTAGGCATACCTTGTGGGGTAATAATAATAGATGCATTGCTATAGGGATGTATATATTCCATCGGCATGGACTCCCGTACTGGCGCCTTGTCCCGCTCTCATCGATATCGAAGTAGCAGCAAGAGCAAGTCCCCGGTGACGACTGTGCAGTACCGAAGTTTCTCTCTTCTGGCACGTGGGCCCGTGTTGCTAACGTGCACTCAAGATGGAAACTTGTCCTTCTTCAGGTTTTTGGTTATCCTATGAGAGACTACCCTTCGTTCTTTTCGTAGCTGAAGCACAAGCTAAAAGAGAAGAATCTCTCTTCTTTGGTACTCATGTGCTTGCAGAGTGGCTTTGGAAAGGAAAGGTTACCTAACTCTTCACTGCTCACTGAAATTAGCTCCACGAGTACACAGCATGAGGGCGTCATTCTGCCCTCTTCTCTCCCTTGAGCAAGGAGAATATATAGGTTTGTGATTCACACCATAGTTCTTTGGGAAACAAATTTTCTAGCTTTCTATTTCTTTGACTGCTTAACTTCTCCCGGTTTGACGAATTTAGTTGCTGGAAGTGAGGATTCGAACGTCTATTTCTATGATCTGACGAAGCCAAACAATCCTTGTGTGAACAAACTACAGGTCTCTGCCTTCCAGTCTCTTTCTGCATTACTACATTGCCCCTTCGGCCTTTTTCTAACTCAACTCATCTCCACAAACAGGGCCATCAGTTTCCAGTTATTGGTGTCGCTTGGAACTATGGCGAAAACTTGCTGGCCTCGTCGGATCTTCACGGAGTTGTCATTGTGTGGAAAAGGGCAAAGACAGGATAGAGGTACACGAATAACGACAGAGATCGGTCTCATTTCAGTTTTCAGCGTAGGAGAAACAGGAGAGACGAGCGTGGATCTGCTGGTAGGAAATTCTTTGGTTCATTCGTCGTTCGTGCTATATGGAAGTAAAACGATTCTCGTTGTAAGTGTTCGATATCTAGTTAGGATCCACCTATTGTAAATCGGAATAACATCGTAAGAGGTTGCACAGTAGGCTGGATTGGTTTGTTTACGATTGGTTCTTGATATTCTTTCACGGATACCAAATCTGGTGCAATTATGTTAAAATGATGGCGATTGAATAATATTGTTTTACTTCAACAACGAGATCATATCAACAATGTTCAATACTTTATAGGCTAAGATATGGAGTGCAAACTAAAACATCATTTCACTAACTTACTCTACGCATTGCCTTCGCAAACCATAGGTATTTGTTAATATCACAATGTTTACTAAAACTAACAAGTGACCATGTTATTTGCCTAGACGTCTCTCAACGCATTTACTCTAACCAAATTGTGCACCTAGATTGTGTCAACTCGCACGTAAGGAGTTCGGGTCTTTGCAAAAAAAAAAAACCTAGATTGTATATTAACATAAGAAGGTAGCAGTGATCAAACCCTATATATAAACATAAATACAACATAGCAAAGGGCGTCCTTAAAAAAGCAGTGCCATCCTCAGCCAGCTCATAGAGTACAAACTGCCACTCAGCCATCATCACCTAAACTCAGAAGATGAAGATGATCGCACAAGTTTAGTTTCTTATAGCACGATTCTATGCGCCTCTTGTCATCATCTTCGACGCCTCTTTGGTCCCGCCTGGGAGAAAACAACGCATTAAGGAAGTCAACAATGTGACGGTGAGAGAATGGATGATGCAATTGAAAGGAGCATTCGGTGAACGGCTGGTATTACCTTCGTAACTGATTGTTTTGGTGAGGTAGTAGCAGCAGTTGTAGCATCAGTATCATGGGAGTTCTGCAACTTCTTTTGGACTTGGGATGAGCAGGTCTCACAGTAGAAGTGGTCGAGCCTTTTAGCTTCCTCTGCCGTCATTTCTATACAAGCAGGATGAAACCTGAATCAAATAGTATGCAAAACAATGGCTTCTCATTACGATCATTCAGAACGAATGGCACCCAGGGGAAAACATCTCTAGTAATACTAAAGCTGGCAACTGCATTATGGCAAAGTTATGAATTGCAAAATGGAGATCATCATAATATGAATATAGAGAGCCCCAAACAAAAGAACCAGTTTTCAACGCAGTGCAGGATGTATAACTATTCGCCTCTTAGCAAAATTAGAAACATTGCAGCTGATTTACTGATCTAGTTTTCAAATGCCGAACCCATTATCTTTGAGAACTTTCTTTTAGTGAATGCCACAAAAAACCAAAGTGCAACCTAGACAACTATCAGGGTCCAAGATGTTTCGTGTTTTCATACCTTATGTTCAAAGGAACAAGACTTCCCTCATAAACCACGAAAAGCAAATCCTTATGAAGTGGCTTTCTTACCATACTACACACTATGTAATGTGACTCAAAGCACCAATCCTATTCCTAGTACATACTCTGCCACCAAGAATTGTTCTTCTATCAGTCCAAGTTGAGTTTGAGACTTTGAGCTATAAAACCACCAATCCTAATACTTAAAGCAAATACTTCTACCTTTCTGATTATGGACTGTACACGATAACTCTATAGGCAAACAACTAATTTACTAAGTGCCTCCTGCTGTGACTTCGAAAGAGTATCCAAAGCATCAAACTTTACACGATGCTGCAGAACCAATTCCTACAAGTGTCTCAACTATACCAATACGACAACAAAAAACGGAAAGGTAGCAGAACTAATAAGTAATAACTAGAGTTACATTATACATATGATGCATCTGGAAAGATGTGCATTAAATTAACAGCTCCCTTTAGAGTGTGAGATGAATTCAGGGCCTGGGTGAATCAAAGCAAAAAGCTATGAAAATAAATGGATACAAACCCGGGTAATAAGCAATGAATGAAAAGGTACTCAGCGAGAAATATACAGCAAAGGCATTCACCATACCTGAGCTACAATATGTGAAAAGGATGCAACTTACCAGTCGCTGCAGCCTTCACACTGCACCATTAGGTCATCGGGGTTGTATGGCATCTCGCATTTACAATACCTGCCACAGTCAAACTCAAGTCAACATCCTGAAAGAGAGAACCATAACAGGACATGAAACAAATAAAATGCATCATAGATACAACTAGCTTATATAACCATCACTAATCAACAACTTCTTGTCAGCCTCTACACCAAATACCCACCAATGACCACACAACACATTAAACCAAAACGTTATAGTAAAAACCACCAACCTTTTTTCGCAACCATCAAACGCAACTAATCAAATTTGCTACCAATTGAAACACCAACTCTGTCCCCTCACAGCAATACATTTTAGCTTAGGTGAAGTGACTGACAACTTTACAAGATGGACGAGTAAATCCATGACCATGGCACACACAGAAGAGTTGCATCATGTCAATAGAAAGAGAAAGATGAAAGCTACAAAAGACTGACCCATTTTTTTTTTTATAAGCTAACGAAATAACAGCAGCAAACTGTCAAATTCAAGAGAGACAAAAACTCAAACGTACACGGCGACTCTATCGGGATTGAAGGCTCCGGTGATGGAATTATACTCGAACCGACAGAAGAAGTCCTCGTCCCCAACAGCCTCAAGCTTCCCGTAGCTCTTGAAGCTGTGGACCGTACACTTGCCTTCAATCGAATCCGCGCTCTGGATATCACGGTGATCGGAGAGAAACACTTCCTTGGAGCCATGGAACTGCCGGCGTCCACCAATTGACTCCTCCGGCCGGTAGTACCACCTCACATGCACCTTGACGTTGGCGCCTCGGCTGTCCGACTCGATCCGCTCGATCTTCGCCACGTAGGACGACGTGGAGTTGTCCGCCGGGCGCATCATCACGCAGTCGCCGGCTGAAAACATAGAACGACAAAAAATTATTCTCACTCCCAATTGAGAGACGGGAAGGAAGAAGAAGAAGAAAAAAAGGAAATTAGGGTTTTAGTCAGAACCGTACGCACGTTTAACGGTTTTGTTGATGTGCTTGACAGAGTAGGAGTCGAGACTCCGGCGCGGGGTTTTGGGCTTGCCCATGGAAGATGAAAATGGTGACGTCGGCGATAGGGGAAGTGAAGCGGCGGTGGTTTATTGCGGCGGCGGCGGTGGAGTGGGTAGTGGTGGCGATGTGTGTGGTCGGGAAACTGAGGACATGCGCAGGAAAAACGGGGGGGAGAGAGAGCAGATATTGAATATTTTTTTGAATTGAATTTTTGCTAAAAGAAATAAATCGCTTTTTCTTTATTTTTCTAAATTCTTGGGGAGAGATATTCCTTTCTTACTTATTAGGTGGGCGGAGATAGCATAACAACACTGCTTGTGTTGTTACGGTACCAACAGGACAAAACAGTAAATTAACATTAAAAATTCCAAAATAAAAATTAATAAAAAACCACTCGCCCTCGCCCCTTCCCCTTCCCATGACTTCTCTCTCTTTTTCTGCAGAATTTCATCGCCGCTCATCTCCACAGTCGTCATTGTGCTGGTGGCTACCGGCTTATTGTGCCTATGAGAGCGGAGGCGGATGAAAGAGTAATATCGACGCCGGAGGTTCTTGGAGCATCCATCTCCTGGCGGTGGAAGCTGCGGTGGCAGTCGCAGGCGGCGCACCGAAAAGCGCCCGGTGTTCCTTCTTCGTCGACGGGCATGAAATCGCCACATCTGTCGACCACGTGTCTCCCCGAGGAGGTAGCGTGATTCCTCGTATCCGACCATCGCATTGGGGGTAATCTAGATCTGAAATATTGCTCCTCTTCCTCCTCCTCGTTGTTCGGTGGAGCGGAAGGTTTTGGATACGACCTGGTCGAGGCGGAGAGGTGGGATCTCTGCTCGGTTTTGGGGGAGCTTCTGCCGATACTGAAATTTGGTGAGTCCTTACCTGTTCCTCAACCGTCGCCCCCGGCGATTCTCACTGATCAAACGCCTAACGAAGCGGAGTCGAGCACCAGAATATGATTAGTAGTGTAAACACTTTACTTTACTGCTACTTGCATTCAGTGGCTGATCGATCTTGTACTAGTTTAGTATTTGTTTCCCATTTATGATGTTTGAACATGAATGAACCAACTATCTGATTGGAATTGTCAATAAGTCTTAGCTCCTCTGTTTTTGCCCTATGAAGTAGTAGTTTGACCATGTGGTGTATCGTAACTCTCTCTTTTTTGTCTGGTTACAAGCAGCACTAGCTAAACCTTCCACCTAGCTATTCGACCGTGTAGGTGATCTCCGCTTTTCATTTAAACTTTAAACAAATGAGAGAGTGAGAAGCTGGTTAGGACCCCTGATGTGAAAGGTTTGGTTTAAACCTGTTAATGTAGACCACAAACACTATAAAAAAATCATAAAATGTACCTAAAAACCTCCTAATGTATACCATAAATCGCTTAAAACATATCAGAAATCCCACAAAGCCAACCACAAATATTTTATATGCACACCAGAAACCGCCTTATGCAAACCACAAACGCGTTAAAACAAACCACAAAAAATCAAACCAGAAACCTCCTAATGCATACTATAAATCTCCTAAAACAAACCACAAACCTCACAAAGCAAACCACAACATTTGCGAAAGCACACCAGAAACCTCCTAATGCAAACCACAAACATAGTAAATCAAACCACAAAAAGCAAACCATAAGCGTCCTAATGCAGACCACAAATCTATTAAAACAAACCAGAAACCTCACAATGCAAACCACAATTTTTTTGAAAGCAAACCAGAAACTTCTTAATGCAAACCACAAACACGATAAAGCAAACCACAAAAACAAACCAGAAACGTCCTAATGCAGACCAAAAATATATTAAAACAAACCAGAAACCTCACAAAGCAAACCACAGAATTTTAAAAAACACACCAGAAACCTCATAATTCAAACCACAAACACGTTAAAGCAAACCACAAAAATAAACCAGAAACCTCCTAATGCATACCACAAATCTCCTAAAACAAACCACAAATCCCTCAATGCAAAACACAAAATTTTTGAAAGCAAACCAGAATCTTCTCAATGCAAACCACAAACACGATAAAGCAGACCAAAAACTTCTTAATGCAAACCAGAAACACGATAAAACAAACCACAAAAGACATACAAAAATATGAGAAACCAAACCATAAATCTCACAATGCAGACCATAACATCCGGTGGTCGTTGGTCGTTGACCGGTCAACGAAGACCGTTGGCCGATCAACGAAACCCGTTGACCAAACTCCGATGACCGTCAGTGAGTAGATTCCGGCGCCGATAAGCATATTCCGGTCCCGATGACTAGATTCCGACGCCGATAAGCATATTCCGACCACGGTGAGCATATTCCAGCGACGGTGGCATATTCCGATGACAAAATAGCATATTCCGGTGACAAAAAGCATATTCCGGTGACCGGCGACCAGATTCCGGCGACCGATGGCCGACTTCCGGCGACCAAAATTTTGGGCCGAAAATAAAAAAAATTATTTTTAATTTTTAATTTTTAATTATTTAATTATTTATTATTTTTTACATAATGACAATAATACCCCTGCTTTGATTTTACACTAGGTCAACTTAACTAATAAAAAGTCATCACAACCCTAGCTTCCTATTGGTTGGAGACTAGTGTTGTTACAATAACAACAAAGGGAGTGTTGTTATAGTATCTAGTCCCTTATTAGGTGGACCGCGCCGCGGGATCGTCGCCGCGACCTTAACGCCGATTGAAATGGACGGCTGTGATAAGACAGCGGAGGTGTGGGCGAATTCGACAGAATAAATCCTCGCCGTCCAACTGTGTGATGATGTGGAATTACGATCGAAAGTTCGGGAGAAAGCTGGAGGACAATTATAGGAATGGTCAGTAAAGTCTACTTTCACTACAAATCGGTCATTCTCTTTTGGTCATTGAACGAATTTGTCATAGAAGTTTGCAATAATATGTCCTTGCAAGGTCACTTGTGCCTAATTTTCAGATCATCACACAAACTCAATTGAATTAATGATGAGAGAAGAATAACTTAGATGAAAATTTGTTATAAAGGACGATGTTATGTTCGATTTATTATGCATTCATGACTCCATTTAAATTCAATTCTCATTGAGACTCGAGGCTTATCAGCATGGGGTCTCTTTGCTTCGATCTCGTCAACTTGTTGGACCATAAACAGAGAAGAAGGAACCCTCCATTCCGTTTTTTTCCTAATCCTTGTTTTCAAATAGATCTATTTGTAAGCAAATAACTAATCTCCTCTTACCTAAAGAAACGCCAGCAGTTTCAATTTTCCTCTCCTTCCTTCCGCCGCCTCGCCAAGGCCTCGCAGCACCGCCTGCTCGCCCACGTCGTTCCGCACCTCGTCTCCATGCTCCGGGTGCGTGACTCCGCCAACCGCCACGAGGCCGCCTTGCTCGCTCTTCTCAATCTCACCGTCAAAGGCGAACGGTGTTGATTTTGAGGACGATCTTGCTTTACTTGGGAAGTAGTACTGCAACTGTTTTCCCCTTTACCAGAGCGATCCTTTTCCTTTTCTTCTCCACCTGCCTTTTTCTAGGATTCCTCTTCTTTTTTACTTTGGGATTAAAAAATCCGTTTGCTTCATAGGTAGGGATAAATAGAATTATTTTTTTGGGCGTTGATCGACTGTTCCGATTCTGTCGTCCACTCTTCGACTGAGGCTTTTAGGCCTGTTTCAATCCCTTGGCATGGGGTTCACAGTGCTATCGAGAGGCGATTTTTGTTTGTTTGTTTTGTAGGCCTCAAAACCGACCGGGGATGGAGCTAGTCCGCCGGGAGACTACTGGCAGCTGCTGGGGTGATGTCTGGTTGCTGTCTCGTCGTCCTCTACAGCGCTGCGAAGGAAGTCGGCCCAGTCTCGATCCGAGCGGTCGCTGGTTGGCCGTCGTTGTGCTCAAGCGCTGGCAAATTCCTGTCGTGCGTTGCCCTTCTGTTGTCAGGTGCCTGACAGGCGTGGCTCTTGTACTGGTGGATGTGGGCGGCTGGGCTGGATGGTTCTTATCCTATTCCCTTCCATGCAACGTGGTAACTAGTTAAGTGCCTCGATTTTGGTATTTAATTTTTTTATTGAGTGACTATCATCCTTTTTATTATTATTGATTGCTAAAAGTTATCTCTTTATCTTGTCTTCAGCCATTGGTATTATTATTATTATTATTATTATTATTATTATTATTATTATTATTCATTTTCGCTTGTAGTTTATTATCTTAGCTTACCCACGACTGGGCTGGGCCTGTCGGTCCCTTTCTGTGTGATTTTTCTTAGTCATTCTTTTAGTATTGGTTTATGTTGCTTGGTTGATTTGAGCCTATGCGGCTTTGGACCTTTCGGGAGGCTTGGTCCGGCTTTTGTATTTGTTTGTTTTGCAGGTGAGCTGCTTAACTGGTTTCTCCTTCAAATTTCAATTACCTGCAGATTTTAATGTCGGATGGGTTTATCCTTTTTATTCATAATTTTATTCTTGTTGTGACTGCGCTGGTTTTCGGTGAGTTTTATTTATTGGACTAGTAAAGCATTAGATATTTTGTTGTTGGCTTTTGTCCGTTGCTCCTTTTTCTTAGTCATTCTTTTAGTATTGGTTTCTGTTGCTTGGTTGATTTGAGCCTATGCGGCTTTGGACCTTTCGGGAGGCTTGGTCCGGCTTTTGTATTTGTTTGTTTTGCAGGTGAGCTGCTTAACTGGTTTCTCCTTCAAATTTCAATTACCTGCAGATTTTAATGTCGGATGGGTTTATCCTTTTTATTCATAATTTTATTCTTGTTGTGACTGCGCTGGTTTTCGGTGAGTTTTATTTATTGGACTAGTAAAGCATTAGATATTTTGTTGTTGGCTTTTGTCCGTTGCTCCTTTTTGTTTGTTATTTACAGGGCCAAGAAAGGTTTGTGCGTACGGATCCAGATGCATCCATTCAGATCGTGATAAAGCTGCTTGTCTCTTTATTCTTAGGAACTAATAGAGCTGCCCATTTTGTGGCATAAACGGCTCTTTCATTGCCAGTTTGATTAGTATCGACTGACGTTATTTTTACCTATTGTAATCATATCTGTCTACTATTTCATCTGACTATGATAAAAAAAAATCTATTTGTATATCATGCTTGACGTTCTTACATGAAGTGATTATCGTCCTAAAGAATGAGTCAATCATGCATGCACAGATCAACCATGATCAAGAAGGAGAAATAAAATTCCATGAAGCATTCAGGGAGTCGGTTCATAACCTTTAGCTAGTTTTACTAGGGAAAAAAAGGTTGTGATGACGACCAACTACATTTATATAGCTCGATCTAGCGTGAAGTAGAACCTGCATTCGACCAAATCCTTGATCAGGGTACAAGATATTTCTCGTTACATATATCGCCTTCTGTTGTCGTTATTAGATATGCTAGTATCAACAGTATAGACGAATAATATTATCCCAAATGAGTAAACCAATAAGGTATTTCATTTTGTTTATCAACATGTTGTCATGAATCATGATTGCCATTTGTATATGGTACACAAAATAAGTTTCAGGTCATGGTCAGTGCAGTAGCGGATCTCCAACAGGGAATAGACTCCTTGTGTCGGAGAAAAGCATATGACGTTGGGTTTCAAATGGAGCTCTCCTATTGCGCGGAATTGGATCACTGCTGGCCTATACTGCTGCAAAGTGCTTGGAGAGACGAATCCATATGCAAGTATTTGCCTCGTAGAAGTACATCTTTGGTGCTCGCCCTGAGGACCTCCAATGTTGGTTCCATTCATAGGTCCAGAATTCAAGGTTGTGATTTGCGTCACCTTCGTCTAGCAGCTGGGCCCACGAGATGTGAAGGTTCTGAATCGTTGGCGCAGTCAACAACGACTATTGCTCCAAGCAAAAAACGACGACATGTGAGAAAATATTATGAATATACAAGAAGAATAAGAAGAAGAAATACGATCCAGCTGCTAGAAGTGTTACCTCAAGCTGACCAGACAAGAGTGTTGGGAGCGTTGATGGAATGGCAACCCCGCGGTAGCAGGACGATTGTGAATGGTGAAATGTGTTCGATAAGGGTAGTAGCATGGTGGCATCTTCATGCACAATGTGGCAGACCATTGGACAACCAGCATATAGTAGTCAAATGCAGCTAAATCGTAAAAATTTGACAACAGGACAACAATCAGGAGAATAACTAGCTAACTATATCATCCTCATTTTGTTCTGCTTTTTTTTTTTTTTTTTTTGAGTAAATGTTGATTATACTCTGTTGGTGATTGGATTTTTTTATGTTGTTATTTGTAGACGAGAAGGGTAAGTTGTTGGGATATTAGGTGATTCACACAAATTTAGCTCTGTTATATTAGGTGACACCACACAAAGGTAGCTATAGGATACTAGGTGACTCACACAGCAGGCATGTCACAAACAGTGGCGGAGCCAGGATTTGAAACTACCCCTGTCCTCTTTTCATAATATAAATATATAATTATTTAATAAATAAAATTAAAACTAATTATATCTAAATAATTCATTCACATATAAAAAATAATCGACTAATAAAATCACTGTTTTCATAAGCAACCACGACGGAATTTCATATTGTGAAAAAAAACACAAAACATTTGTTGTCTACAATGTTAAGTAAGTCTCTTTTAATGTAACGCACTAAACAATCATTAGCAAATTGGTCGCCAATTCGACTTCAAAACTTGTTCTTAATATAACTCAAAACTGAAAATGTTCTTTCTGCACTTGTAGTTGCAAATTGGTGGAATCAAAACTAGTAGAATTGTCGTTGTTGCTGAAAAATTTCAAGATTGTTGGGGAAAAACGAATAGACAAAAGGAGAAAAAAGATTTTATTAGGTCTTTATTGCAATTAAAAGTTCATTTATAATATAATAAATTAATTTTATATCAATTTATGAACAACTAATAAGTTGTGTTGTACTGATAAAATACTATAATACCACCTTTAATTGTTTGTTCCATCATCAATATAAATATATATGAGTATTTTTTTCCACTCCGAAATTTGCCCCTGTCCCATGACAAGGGCTAATGCCCCTGCCTCCGCCTATGGTCACAAATGAGTAAAAATCAATAGCATCGACATGTTCGACCATAAACCGCGAGAAGTAGAGCCCCTTCATTTCATTTTTTTCTTCTAATCCATGTTTTCAAATTATATCTGATTGTATATCATGCTCAATGATTTTACAGGAAAACTTTGTTTGTTTAGAGGTGCAAATAGAGGGGGCAGCAAATTTGGGGTGCAAATGCAATTTCCAATACATTTGCACCCATTTGGATAGTTTGCAATAGTAGTGAGGGGGGTTAATGAGGGGTAAATATACTATTTCACTAAACCCCCAATTTGGGGTGCAAAATGAGAGAGAAAGCGAGGAAGGATGGATGAGAAATGGTTACGTAAAAAATTATGTTGTTTTATATTTTGTTATTGTGTATAATGATGATTTAATGAATAAAAATATAATAAGTAACAATTATGTTATATCATTGTGTTATTATTAATGTAGATGTTGTCCGATGTTCACGTTTGACTCCGGTGAGTAAGTTTGTCAAAGTTTGTGTAGTCAAATCAAGATCTCTTCGTTTACTCGAAATTGTGCTGAAATTAAAGAGAATAAGTGTTTAACTTGCATATTATAACGTGATTTCATATATCGATTCCACACCGGTTTAGTTAACTCGGTTTATATGATTAAATAGTTTAAACTTACATATTCGAATGTGTTTACGTAAGTTTGACCTATTCAAATTTAAAGTTAAAGTGGACAGAATAACCGTATAGGATGGCTAGTTGTGGTTAAATTAAGTACGAGAATCCTGTAGGATGACTAGTTACGAGTTGAGTTTCGAGTTTCGAGGCCTCTCGACCAATGATTATTGCATTTGTTATAATTAATTATTATTTAAGTATTACTATTTTATGATTATTTTTATTAAAACATATTTATTATTATATAATAATTCCTATTTTATTGTTTTATACTAATGTTATAAATTTAATATATCTATTTTATAATAATATAATTTACGTACTTTTCAGTCTATTTGCACCCCCTACTTTTTCATCCAAACAACAATTTATCCCTCCACTTACACCCTCAACCAACTTGCACCCTCCTGCAATTTACCCCTCAACTTGTACCCCTCTCGAATTTGCACCCCTACTTGCCAAAACACAGCGAAATTGATTATCATCACACCAAAAAAAAGAGTCAATCATTCACAATTCAACTAGGATCGAGAAGGAAGAATCAAATTCCATGAATCATTGAGGGATTCATCATTTCAGAACCTCTAGCTAATTTTACTAAAAAGGAGAGGTGGTGATGATGACAACCAACTACATATGTTCGACTCGATTCGCCATGAATTAGAACCTACATTCGATCAAATTCTTGTTCAGAGTACAAGATGATTCTCGTGATATGTACCGTCTTTGTTGTCGCGTGATCAGGCACACTGGTATATCAACATTTTAGACGAAAGATATATCAAAGACGAGTAAACCAATAAGGTGAACCATTATGTTAATTATTCTAAGTTGAGGCGCAGAGTTGCAATTAACTCAGGCAAGATCAATGACGGATTGTGTAATTGACCCGACAACTAGGTTGGTACATGTGTGAAACGAGAGATGTCGGATGCTCCACGTCAGCTAATTTGGTGGAGGCTTCTTTTTTTTAAAAAAATAAATTTATTATTAATTTAATTCACCTAGAAACAGGTGAGAATAGAAAATTTGAGAGTGCGTGCGGGATCGCATTTGAGGAATTAGTAAAATGGGCTTCGATCGGGTGCAACCGGAAGCAGCGTCAGGGAACGGAGGAACGGCCGACGTGCCTCCGACAACGCCACGTCGAAAAGGAAAACACGGTTGCTAGCTAGCTGCTCACACCTCTCTCTTTGTATTTTCCGCCACGTCAAAATTCACCGCCGGTCGCGCGTCACGCTCCATGCCACGCCATCATTCCCACGCTTCAAAACCTATGACATACTCTTTTGTTTTCTTTATTTTTCGCCCGGAGCTTTCACACTCTCCCCTCTGGCAGGCGAATGGTTAATCGGCAGCTTCATGGCTGCGGCCAAAATAACGGGACTCCACAATGAAGCCCTTACAGACTCGTTTGTAGGGTGATTCATGTCGTTGGATCATGTCACATAGAATTGGTAAGTACTGCATGCATATCGACATCTCCCAACAATTCGAGTTATTGAGATCAATTGGTAGTGATGAAGGCAGCTTACACCAAAGTGGGTCATTTGCATCACCTTTGCTGTTGGAAGATACCTAAAACCTATATGTATCAGTCTACCCATATGCGGAGCTAGTCCTATTGGGCATTGTCCTAGGACAAGGGTAAGTTTTGGGACGAAAAAAAAGCCATATAAAATTATGCTACAACTCATTATTTGTTTATAAATGGACATAATACTAATTTATTATATTATAAACGAAATCTCAATTGGAATAAAGACCTAATCGGATCTCCTTTTTCCCTATGCCTATTCGATTTTTTGCACATGAACCCTGAAGCAGCCCAGCCATAAGGCATTTCAGTAGTTTTGATTCTACCCGTTGCAACTGCAAGTGTATTTTCAACTTTGAACTATGTTCAGAACAAACTTCTAAGTCGAATCGGCACCCCGTTTACTAATAGTTGTTTAGTATGATACAATGAAATCGACTTACTTGAGAATGTAGACAACGTATGTAATTTTCGTTTCTTTCGGAATATGAAAACCATGATTGTATTAGTTTTTTATTTTTTATTTTAATTATTTGAATATTATTAGTTTGATTATATTTATTAATTAATTATATATTTATATTATAAAAAGAGTACAGGGATAGTTTCAAATCCTGCCTCCGCCACTAAATCTACCTAGAACCATAATAAAGCCTTAGACCTCCCTTTGACAAAACAACATTCCCATTTCCACCAACATACTGCAAGTATACCCTTAAG